TCTTGGCATACACTGCCAAATGTTTTTCAGGAATTCAAGTAGTGGTTTTTATTTTCAAATTCCTAAATAGCTCGGGGCCTATCTGAATAACAATCTGATCTGTAAACAAATATATCCAGACACTAAAATGCGCCATCAATTTGATTTATGTTTTATCAGCTCAGCTGTCAATTCTTAGCAACCATGTGGATAGATCCTCTCCAAGATGATCTGTCCCCAACCTTCAAGTCTCCCAATGGTATACCCATTGCCATTGAAACAGAGTCCTTTTCCTTTCCTGCTGATTATCTTTGTAAACTGGACTCATGATTATTTCTAACAATGGGTTTTAAGTAAATTCTCACTCTTTAAAGTTTTGTACAGTCTGAAATTGACTTGAAAACTGGGATAGAAATTGAAACAAGGACATCAATACAAAGTCAAAACCATCAACATGAAATAACTACATAATCCTTTAATTTTTTTAGAAATATTCACAATATTGTTACCAAATGCATACCTACCAAGTCACTTGCATGAGAGAAACTGGGACAGCAGCTGCATAGATTGCCAGATCACCATATAAATAGATGATTAAACAGAAGTAAAATAAATTCACTCCCACTACAAGGAAGAAAATGAAATAAAGATATAAACTATTGCAATTCACATCATTGTATCACATTAATTTTTTTAAAAAATGCTTGATGTTTTAGTCATTTCTTGTTGAAAGTTACTTTTTTAGAACCCATGGATGCTGAAATGAAATGGACCCAAAATACTGCTTGAAAAAAAGAATCTAATCCATGCATAGTGGAATTAAATCTTACAGGCAAAAATATGGTACCCTATCTAGTATTTTAAAATCTGTAACATTGTTTTCTATAATTATTTCACATTGTTATATTAAATATAAGGCTCTCACTATGACAAACTTCCAGGCAGAAGTCCTATAATATGAATCCTAGTAGAAGATTTCTACAACCTAGAGCAGAATACCTGCTTCATTGAACTACAATTTGCATCTATTATTTCACTCGCAGTATATAAAGATTATGATAGGTGCAATGTGATCACATTGAAATTTCATTTTATCAAAGCATACAGTAACCCTCTTTGATGTATTATAGGTAGTCCTCAACTTCAAACTGGTTTGAAGTTCCAAAGCTCTACCTGGGGGGGTACTTACAACCTGGATTTGAAATTCTGACGGTTGTTCCCCCCCCCACCGTAGTCATATGACTTCACTTTGGGTGCTTGGCAACTGGGCCACATTTACAACCGTTGGCAGACTTCCATGATGCATTTTACAATTGATTTGCTGAAAACCAGCATTTACTTGCAGTTTCCAAAACAGGATATGATTCTAATCTTGCCAAATTACCATATGATTTATAAAAGGCGATGATGCAATACTTTTTCTTTACAATTTGGGGACAAAATTATTGGTGTGCAAAGAAGCTTTTATGATCAGACATCAGGAAAGATAAAGAAATCCCAAAACACATCAACTTGTTTTTCAAAAAGGAACTGAAATAACTCAATCTAAACATATTTCATTTTCCAAGTAATCAGGCCAAGGACAGGAAGAAAAAAGGAATATAAGAAATCAAAAAATTGAGTACATTCAGCTGACATTAGGAATGATCTTCCGTAGTCTATTTGTGAGGACGGCATATATGTGCATAGAGTACATATGCACACATATACGCATGAATATCTCTGTATACATATACGCATGCACAACTCTGTTAATACATAAAGCAGGGCTTTTCAACCTTTTCACCCATTTTACCACTTTTAGGATATGGCAATATCCGAGTACCACCAGTCGCCTAGCAAGGTGTCCAAAACTTGATGATCAAAAAAAAGGACAAAAAGTGATAAAGTACAGGTAGTCCTCGACTTACAATTCGCTTAGTGACTGTTCGAAGTTAAAATGGCACTGAAAACAGTGCCCGCCAATCCACAGCCGAGCAAGACACCTGCCTGCCCACCCAGCGGCGCTTTTCCTCCTGTCCGAGGTTTTCATTGTTGTGAGCATTTCTGTTGAGGATTGGTAGCGGGGATGGGGTGGGAGGGTATTTGGTTTTTATTCCCTCTGTCTGCTGGGTGGTTGCAGCAGGTTTTGGTCACTTCACATGACCCTGGGACACTGTGACCGTCATAAATAGGAATCAGTTACCAAGCATCTGAATGTAAATCACAAGACCCTGGAGATGCTGCAACATTCCAGCTGAATGGCGCTTCTTCTGGGCTCAGAAGCGCCAGGATCAGCACCGAGCTCCAGCTGGAGCCTTGCGCTGATCCTGATGTTTCCACTGAGCCCTGACAGTCCCGAAGAAGTGCTGATCCTGGCGCTTCTGCTGAGCCCTGACAGCCCTGCAGCTCCAGCCATCTCTCGCTCAGGCTTGTGCGATGCTGCCACCGGTTCAGCTCATTCCCCTCCCCTGCTACCACTTTTCTAGGATGGTCGCGTACCACCTGCCAGGTGCCAATGTACCACAGGTGGTACCCCTACCACTGGTTGAAAAGCCCTGACATAAAGTATTCTTCAGTCAAGTTTAATGCTTTATGATTTCATGTCTCTGTATGTCTTGGATAACAATACATTTGCAAACCACCTATATCTCACCAATGTTGTGCTACTGGATTAACTCCATGCATGCTCAGATAAATAAATACACAATTTAAATAAAAAGTAAATAAATTGTCAACTCTTTGTTCTGAGTTTTGGCTTCCAATCTAGCCTATTAATTATCCTTATAGCCTATTTGATAGTCTCCCATTCGAGTATTAAACGCATCTGACTCTACTCAAATTTTGAGATCAGCCAAGGTCACCGCTAGAAAAATACAAGTACTACAACAATTGGCAATCCTCTTTCTTGGCAAAAATAATACCTTTTACATTTAAAAAAACCTCCCCAAACCAGAAACAACATGGTGTACTCAGCAACTACGTGTCTTCTAAATGGGGTCAAGGAAAAAGTCTTGTATTTCTTCAGAACACTTTGCTCAAAAGATAAATGGAAATAGGCACTATTCACCTAGGCCAGGGGTGTCAAACTCGCAACGTCACATGATGTGTCGCGACGTATTGTGACTTTTTTGCCATTGCCGGCAATGGGGTGGCCGCGGTTTCACTATGATGCATCCAGCCCGTGGGCCGGCAGTTTAACACCCCTGACCTAGGCCATTGTTCAGCAGTATTAATTCTGTAACTGTTTAGCATACATTTTCCCCATTATAATTTGTCTCACTTCCTGAAAGCGGTTCCTACCAATTTATTTTATGAATCAGTACCAGAAGTATGTTGAAGTCTGACCTGATGCAAAGCTTGGATAGGCAGTCATTTGTTTTAAGCATCTAGCTCATCAGTAGGTGACAAGCTTTCTAGTTTCCTCTATGCATGATATGCTGAAATATGAACAAGGCCGATTATGTATTTTTTAAAATAAGTAATTATCTATGAACTCCAGTAATCACCAATATATACCAATGAAGGAGAATATTTGTAGCTCAGGGTTGAAATGAGAGGACCTTGGTGATGTTACCTAGTTAAGGTAATGAAACGTCTGCAAGAAAACAAGCAAGCTCAGAGAGCACCAAGGACCCCTCACCAATATATTTATGCCTGCTGAGGTCTGTTGCCAGGCTGATTTTTCACTTGCCTGACCACCTATTCCTCTCTAGATACTTATTTAAAGGTTCCTTATGACTACCCAGAGATCAGACTTTGACTTCAACATCCAGCTGAAACCAAAGGCTGGAGGTGTGAAGAGTCTGTTGCATACACAAGTTCAAATTGTAACACTAGAGGAAATTCACTTTCTACTTTCAAGGCCACTATTGCGTCAGAGCCATTAAAATGTGTACCATCATGAATTAATGCATCACACAATATGCAATGCCAGTTTCAATTGCTAATTGTATATTGCAATTAAGAGGGCAGTGCAGTACAATAGCCATCCCGGTTATAAAACCTCCATTCATTATATAACTTCAATAGAGTCATCAATTCATTTATTGCTAGTATATCTATGCCCATTGCATAGCCCACAAATGGTATTTCATAATGAATAAGCCAAATAATTTTACAGTATGCTAATAGATGGAAACCATAAAAATTCTTGTTTATGTCTACAACATATTCTTCTTTTTCCTCTTCTCCTAAAAATATTTTGGTTCTTAAAAATTATTAAAACTTAGTGTAACTGAAGAGGAAAGCATAAAAAACAATAAGAAACGCACAAAATACTAGGTATCTGTTAATAGCGATATGTCTATAAGTAGAATAAAAACAGAACTATTTCTCTGCAGTAATAATCAGTAATTATGTCCCCACCTTTAGCTATTCATAATATTAAAATGAGACAAGAGCAACAGGGCAATCAAAAGGATATTTATTCCCAGCTTGGGCTTTATTATTATTTTTAAAATAGTAAATAGATTAAAATATTCATTAATTCTTTAAGATCCATTGCAGCTTTTCCCCCAGCTNATTAAGTTGCTTTTCCAGTATTAAGTTGCTTTTCCAAGGTAGTCTGACAACACTTTTCAAGTTTTCATCACTTCATTAGTATTATAAATATTTCTGGCCTGGAGAAGAAGAGCTACTTGCGTTATTGCCTTATACAGGAAAAGAGGGGAATTAGGAAGGAAGCACTACAGTTAGCCAAAGCTAAAACCCAACAGGATACCATGCCTGAAGTGCAGTGTGAAGACAACCTGATAAATATGAGTTGTAGCTGGGGTAATTTCCATTGAAAACTATCATTAATTTTCCACCACCTATGCGTATCTCAAGGGACTGCCACCATTCAGTACAAGGCTGACCTACTAAAAGGTATAAAGTTAACAAACTTCCAGGAGAAAAAAAATAAAAAGGAAGAGAAAGAGGCTGAAAACAGCAGCAGATTATACCCTTAAAATGTAAATCAATCATTCTTTCACAATGTTATTTTGTTTAAGAACAAAGCAAAATTCATACTGTGTGCGCCTTTGGTTAGTGACACCTACCAGATAAATCCTGTAAGCATCAATCCTCCTGATTGGCCCCCAGCACTTGTCTGTGTCATTATACTTTGTCCCGTCCTCCACGCTGCATGAATGATTGCCAGTCATAGTACTGACAAAAAGAAGCAAAGCAGATTATTAATATTCATCTGAATATGTGAAAAGACCCTTATTCATAAATATACACTCTATCATACAAACATGTCCAGGAAACAGTGGCAGACCGAGTAATAATAGCTTTTTAAGCAACATAATGATGTAGCTAGTATGACAACTGCAACTATTCCTTAGCTAGTTGTTCTCCACTCTGCAGTTACTTCTTATCAATGTAATATGTTCTATGTGGACTGTCCTACACAGCATTCAGAAGATATAATTCATGCCACAGTTGGATTACTAACTGGTACATTTAGCTTGCCTTGAATATTGGCATACACTGCCAAATGTTTTTCAGGAATTCAAGTAGTGGTTTTTATTTTCAAATTCCTAAATAGCTCGGGGCCTATCTGAATAACAGATCTCCTCCCACAGACCGGTACGCTCCCACAGAGTGGGTCTCCTCAGGGTGCCGTCGGCCAAGCAATGTCGGCTGGCGACCCCCAGGGGAAGGGCCTTCTCTGTGGGTGCCCCCACCCTCTGGAACGAACTACCCCCCGAGATCCGGATGATTCCGGATCTCCTCACTTTCCGCCGCGCCCTCAAGACATGGCTT